TGATGATGATGATGATGATGATGATGATGATGATGATGATGATGATGATGATGGCACTGCAGTCTTCGTTCCTGGTGTTGCTGTCGTCTTTTCCCCGTCTTTTTTTTAAAAAGTAGGCTACATCCAGACGCTATTGAAAACAACAATTTTGCTATCACACATAGGCCTTTTTAAATGTAGATGTTTTTACATGCACGTCGACACGATGTAGATCATTTAGAAGGCGGGTTTCCGACTTTGCCTGACAGGGTCAACCTGTGCTGAGAGGGATACAACATCCCAGCAGAACGACAGAGATACTCGATAAAAGTGTTCTCCCCACTCGAGAATGGAACACATGTCTCCTGTGAGCGACAGCGAAAAGTCTTACCGCTACACCACGGACACCGATTAGACATATCAAAACATCTTAGTTAGTAAAATCTTCCTATGGTCTTAAGGTTACCCACAAACAGTTATTTCACCTGCCAATCGCCCTTAGCACGAGATAGAACTTTTACTAATAGATATACCTAGTGCACATGATCATTTAGACCCAATTGGCCAGACCTTCTTTCAAGGATAGGGCAAAATCCACCATTTTGACACAATACGACCGAATTCAACCAATTCGACGGTGACCTTCAAAATCAAACATGTTTTTTTTTCAAGGTCACTCGAGTCGAATCGTTCGGAAACCCATTTTGCTTCTATGCATTATATCCTCAGACGTACTCTGGAGATATTTCCAATAGAACATGGCTTCCAGAATTATTTGAAGGAATTGGATATATTGAAAGAGGTAAAGTAAAGTGTAGATAAATAATAATGATCACTTTACTTCAGAAGGCCGATTGGAATCAGTCCGTTGCCTTTCACTATGCCACGACAACTTTTATTTAGCTGTGCGGTCCCTGGAGAGATAAGTGGTTATCTATTTGCTCAAAGGGCGTAGAATCCAATATAATCTTGTGTGTGAGATAAGATTTATCTTACTCGGTCGATATACCGATTGGGAACCTTCTTACCGATATCAGATCTCCAAACAAGGAAAGAGAACTTTATCTTGCGATGTTTGATTAATATTTGGGGGTAGCCTATGTAACGGATATGTTAGGTCATTGTGAGCTATGGAGCCTACTTCGGAACTCGACGCAGCGTTAGTGGGCGGTGCGAGAAAGGGGGCAGTTTAGGATAGAGAAAAAGAGGAAGAGAGATATGAGATATATATTATATACATGTGTATATATGTATGTATGTATATAT